ACAAATATCTTCATGATTGGTCTTTGATCCAAACATAATTTGAGGATTATCCATATTGTTCAAAATGACATAAAAAAATAAATATGATAGTAAACATTATTATCAAAGCATAACTTTTATTTATGTACAACAATTACATAGCCATACTATCTACTACAAATAATAAAAATTAAAATATTTACATTTCTACAGATTCACTACCGATCACATGACTTGATTCTCTTTCTGGGAGTGCAAAATAATCAGCTACATCTAAATGCATGAAGTCTAAATTATCTTCAGAAATANCTTTCTACAATGTATTTCTGGATAGAAATATTCTTTGTAATACAAAGATATTCCACGTTCATTTCATCTATTGTCTCAACATGATACCCATTTCGGCGGATATCTATAAAACTCAACAAGTTTCTTCGGGATTTAGAGGAGAATAATGCATTGTCTATAATAAGTTTTGTTCCCTTAGACAGAAATACAATAGCTCTTTCGGAGCCTTCAATCAAACTTATATTACCAAAAATTGTAAAAATATTTGCTTTTTCCTTATGCAAATAAGAAACATATTTTTGATCTTTGAATATGGCATGAGTTGTTCCACTATCAATTACACAAATATCTTCATGATTGGTCTTTGATCCAAACATAATTTGAGGATTATCCATATTCTTCAAAATGACATAAACAAAATAAATATGATAGTAAACATTATTATCAAAGCATAACTTTTATTTATGTACAACAATTACATAACCATACTATCTACTACAAACAACAAAAATTAAAATATTTACATTTCTACAGATTCACTACCGATCACATGACTTGTTTCTCCTTCTGGGAGTGCAAAATAATCAGCTACATCCAAATGCATGAAGTCTAAATTATCTTCAGAAATAAAATTTGCTTCAGCATTTTTCTCTGTCTTCTTCAGGGAGGCTTGATACAGCTCTACCAGGTGCTTTGGCGTACGACATGTACGTGACCAGTGCCCTTTTCCTCCACATCTATAGCATGCATTTTCTGGCTTTGCTTCTTGCACCGCTTCATGCTTTTGTTCCTTCCTTTTCCACTGCTGGTGGCGAGGAGGGTTCTTTGGTGCATTGTTATTANGTTAGTACCACGATTAGAGTTTCCTCCCCGACCACGGCCATGACCACGACTGGGGCCACGTCCTCTTCCACGCTTAGCTTGGTGGAAGTTCGCCTCATTCACTTCAGGGAATGGACAAGAACCAGTACGTCGGCTTTCATGATTTTTCATTAATAATCCATTATGTTGCTCGGCTGCAAGAAGATGTGAGATAAGTTCAAAATACTTTTTAAATCCCATCTCTCGATATTGTTGCTGCAGAAGCATATTCGAGGCATGAAAAGTGGTGAAAGTTTTCTCCAATATATCATGATCAGTAATATTATCACCACATAGTTTCAATTGGGAAATAATTCTGAACATAGCAGAATTATACTCACTGATAGATTTAAAATCTTGTAGCCTTAGATGAGTCCAATCATAACGTGCCTGTGGAAGAACGACCATCTTCAGGTGGTCATATCTATCTTTTAAATTACTCCACAGTATGACTGGATCTTTAACAGTAAGATATTCCATTTTCAGGCCCTCATCAAGGTGATGGCGTAGGAATATCATTGCTTTGGTACGGTCTTGGTTTGATGCCTGATTTTTATCTTTGATGGTGTCTGCCAGACCCATCGCATCAAGATGAATTTCGGCATCAAGCACCTAAGACATGTAGCTTTTGCCCGATATATCTAGGGCTACAAACTCAAGTTTAGAAAGATTTGACATTATTTAGAAAAAGAAAGTTCGTACCTATAATACTTTCAAAGTATTTTCTCGAGTTGGCAGAGTCTCGTACTGATAACGTGTTATAAAATAAAAAATGTAAAGTAAAGACAAGTATAGAGAGAAACTGATATATTATTCAAACTTCAAACTTATGTACATAATGAACTGAAAACTCCTCTATTTATAGAAGAAAGGAAGCAGCTGCGAGGCTTTTCGGAAAGCAACTGCAAGGCTTTTCTTTAGCTGCTTGTAAGTTGTCTGCATGAGCTGTTTGCAACCTGCTTGTTTAATAAGAAGGTGCTGCAAATCATTTTATTGAGCTGCTTGCAACCTGCCTGCATCAGCTGCTTGTAGATAAACTTCAACAGAGTACTAAATGGATAATCTTCTTCAGGAAGATTATCTATAGCGGAGTAATAAATGAACATCCACAATATAATTATTTTCATAACAATTTTGAACTTTAAAAAGTAAAACTCACTGTATGGATTTTTTATTTTTTTTTAAAGTTTGAAATCCATGGCACTTTTATGAATTTCAAAAATCAAGACAATATCCTATTTTTTCACTTAATTAAGTTCGAAATTCATGGCACTATTATATGTTTTCCCATTAAAAGTAACAACTTTTTCCACAAATTTTTGAACACTGGCTATTCCTCAAAACCAGTCCGAAAAGGGCTAGGCCGTACAATTTTTACACCAAAACCTGGGCCTGGATCAACAACAGGACATCCAATTAATCGAATAAGGTTCATGCTCTATCCCGTTAAAACTGTAAAACCCAAAACTTTCTTCTGCATCACATAAACCCTTCCTTCTGTATCCCCATACTTCATATTTTCTAGTAGTTGAAAAACTGTTTCCTTCGAAACTGATACTCCAAATGATTCTTCCGATAAATCCAGCAAATAAATTATCCTTTAAACGCTGCATTAAAGATGGAGATTTGGTAATTGTATACGAAAGACATGATACAATGAAAGCAGTAAAAGTCAGTGAGGATGGGGTTCTACAGAATCGTTTTGGTGCATTTAAGCATTCAGAATGGATAGGAAAACCATTTGGGTCCAAAGTTTTAAGTAACAAAGGAAGTTTTGTTTACTTGTTAGCTCCAACTGCAGAGTTGTGGACATTGGTTTTAAGTCACAGAACTCAGATTCTTTATATAGCTGATATTAGTTTTGTTGTTATGTATTTGGAGATTGTTCCTGGTTGTTTGGTTCTTGAATCTGGTACTGGTAGTGGATCTTTGACTACTTCACTTGCTAGGGCTGTGCCCCCCACTGGTCATGTTTATACCTTTGATTTCCATGAACAGAGAGCTGCTTCAGCTAGGTAAGGTTTTTAATACCGTGTTTATATATGTATTCTATGCTATGTTTGGAACTTAATTTGTGGATTTACTTTCATTAAGTTGTCAATTGATCTAGGCACTGGCGGAGCCAGGGATTTATATGAAGGAATTTAAAAAAAGATTACTAGAATGTCACACCTAGGGTTTGCATATGTGGCCAAAAGCATATTTTGTACCCCTTTGCCACTACACTAGAATCTCTTCTTATGTCAAGGGATTCAACAATTTATATATGATAAAAAAAAATCATTTTCTTCTATTTGCACAGCATCCCTTGCTTGAATCTAGCTCCAGCCATGGTTCTAAGGTGATTTGTGCCAAGCTTTGGCTGATTTTAAGTGTATCTAGGATCCTTTACAGTCACTCTGGTGCAACATGTTAATTTTAGAAGAGTTTAAGATTAATGCTGAATACGATTTAGTCATAGGGGCACTGTTCAAGAGGTTATAGAAGTGTGAATCCTTTTTTTTGACTCGGGCTGTTTTTACTAAGGAGACTGCATTCATTGGAAATCTTCTGGTTGCAGTTTTTTTCTGCTCTATTAAGATGTAATAGGGTTTCAAGAGTTAACTCTAGACGGTAGAAGCCTAGGGCAACAAACATCTTCCTCTGTGATGTGAAAGTGTAGAACTACCACCATCTAGCATTGTGCACTAGTGAGCAAAGGTTTCAAGAGTTAACAGAGAAAAATTGTCCAACACTTACACTTAATTCAAACAAATTGACAAAAACTCAATTCTGTATGTTTATACTCTAATAACAACTCAATCCCCATGTTGAATGGAGTGGACAAGTTGAGAGCCATCAATATAGATCAACCCTTCTTTGCATTACCATACAATCTCCATTAACTCCTCAAGCTTCACAATTCTGTGCATCAGACTATTGTAAGCTCCTGGAGCAGTGGGTCAACAGGTGCAATGCTTTCAGAAGGTGTTGAGACTCTTAAGTCCACTTGATCTGCAACAACAGAGAAGAAAAAGACCGGCCCTCTTTCCTTATTCTGTCTAGAGAAAACATCATTAATCACCAATCTCAAAGCAGCATGACAGGCAGTATGTCTCATAGGATACAACAAATTAAACTCTTACCTGAATGAAGATGAGAAACTGTAGCTGGACAAGGATGGGCAATTAAAACATCGTTAAGTGTATAAGGCGATACAGTTGTATTGAGTTGAGGTGACTGACATCCTTGAGATTTCAGTAAGTAGCATGATTTTCAAGGATGTCATCTAATATCTGAAAGTCAATTTGCTTTCTGTGAGCATGAAATGATAAATTTGCGTTGGGAGTTGCCCCTTTTATATGCACTTAACTCCAAACGAGAAGGATTTAACAATACTTCAGCTGAACCAAGTCAGTATAAAGACAGCTAGTTAAACAGTAATATTGACAGCTTACTTTCCCGAGTAGAACTAAAACATGACCACGATACAACGAGAAGATATGAAGGAACATCATTATGTTGAAGCAGACTGTTTCCTGATTTTTGAAACCACAAATTTTATGTCTTTTTAATTTCCATGCACAATACTCTGTGGTATTCTGAAATAAACAAGTTTTTAAACCTCAGCTTTGCAGGGTGTCTGCATGATAGCTGAAGTGTGTGAAGTTGCTTTGTTAGTTCAAAAGATGATCCATGGACATAGTTTTTGAAGATCAGTAACTAGTTAACTTCAGCCTTTAGTTTCTTCCTAAGAATTCCCCTAGTGTAGTTCAAAGAACTAGTTTCTCACTGGTAATAAGCTTTCTTAGCTAGTGATAGCGAACCTTAACATAATAGAACAGGATCTTTTCGAAAACTTCAAATGCACAGTTGGAAGGTATTAATAGAAAATTAACTTTTTGCTCTTTTAAAAGTGCAAAGCATAATCCAGTATGGGAGGACTAAGTAATTGAAAGTGACATAACAATGCTAGACAGTTCCACATCATGCCCACATACAAAAAATTAATAAAAATATAGTCTAGTCACGTGACCCTAGATCAAAATTTTATTGGGCTTTGCTTTGCTACTACAGCCAAGTCTCACTGGCAATAACAAGAGTATGTAAAGACAACCTTTAGGAGCCAAGATGACCAGAAAACCAACCATTTTCATAGCACACTGGACTGTATAATAACCATACAACTGAATTTACTCGGACGTGTTTTTAATCTACAGTATTTTAGCACATTAAAATAATCGTGAGCGATATACAAAGTCATTGGTATATTTATGAGAAAGCTTACAGAGTATGTAACAAAGTCTCACTTGCTCAAAGTTATTCATAGTTGCTGCAAAACGATATCCCCTGCTCCTCGTCGCATCTGGTTGCACAATGTTCTGTGAGGGAAAGTTAATATTTCCATTGCAAATTCTTTTTGTGAGGAAAGCATCTATCACAATTATTGGTTCGTTTGGACTTCAAGGGGTAAGCATGTGATGTAGTAGGTGACTCCAAAGGAAGTGAAGTAGCTAGCAGCATTTACGTGATAGCTGAGCCATAGTAAAGGAAATTTATCAAGAAAGAAAATTTATGTTAGTCGGTGTTCAAGGCAAATATTGCAGGGGAAAATGTCAACCACATACTACTTCAGTCATCTTATTGACTATGGTCAACAATCTAGAATTTGTTTAGAGTGGAAATAGTGATGCCTTTTACTGGCAAGCGCAATTGGGGAAAAAGAGTTAAAAGCATTTGATGGGACCAATAATTTAAGTACTATCTCTTTTTTGATAAACGAGAAATCGCTGGGGGCTAGCTAGTTCACAGTTCGAAACTCGGGGATAATAGGTCCACCAATCTACCTTCTCCACTTCTATTGAGCAAGTACGTAGGACTGTGTTCTCTCTCTTCTTCTTTTCTCTCTCTTTCTCTCTTTTATAAATCTTTGGAGCACATATGACATTCTCACTATCGTAGATGACTGGATGCACCAGTAGATAGAACTCCATATTACATGTATGGCTTTCTATTTTCTTTAATATTTTGCTATGGCTTTCTATTTGATACATATTGTCTACTATGTCGTCACCTAGATGCTATCGATGAAATTTTCTTATAAGAAAAGAAAGGAACTTGTGGCTTACTGTTAACAAGATTTAAATTTGCTTTCTTCTATTTCATTACTTGTTGTTTTCACTGTCACACAATGAAGCTCCCAAAGAAAGGTAATTTTATAGTAGGCTTAGATCTGTCCAAGAGTTGCAATAATGTCTTTCTTTTTCCAAAATCCCCCGGCGCTGCATGTCTGTATAAAAGAGGGAGAAAGAGAGAGGATCCCATAATAATTTTGTACTAATTTTGTTTCATTTTATTTTAGCTTAACTTGGTCTTTAAAATTTCCACCTGTAGGGAGGACTTTGAAAGGACAGGGCTGAGCAATCTGGTCACAGTAGGAGTAAGAGATATACAGGGCGAAGGGTTCCCTGATGAGTTTTGTGGGCGGGCAGATTCAGTATTCCTCGACCTTCCTCAACCTTGGCTTGCCATTCCTTCTGCTGGAAAAATGTTGAAACCAGATGGGGTATTGTGCTCCTTTTCTCCATGCATTGAGCAAGTACAACGCTCTTGTGAAGCACTCAAATCACATTTTACTGGTAAGATATTTTTCCTGGAGACTTTATCTCATTCAGTCAAGAAAACTGCTATATAGAAAGTACAGACTCTTATGTGGCAAGTGTTTTTGCTTTGTGCAGATGTAAGAACGTTTGAAGTGCTTCTACGCACCTATGATGTTAGGCAAAGGATAGTAGAGAGCTGCCCAGTAAACGAAGGAGGTTCTAGTGAGCGCCCTCCACGAAAGAGGAGGCAGGGTTCTGCTGAAGGAAACAATGGGATTGAATGCACTTCTTCTCCTACCGTGATGATTAGGCCTTCTGGGGAGGCAAGAGGACACACTGGCTATTTGACATTTGCCAGACTCAAGTGTTTTGTGTAATATGCTTCATCAAAGATCCAATTTTTGTGGTGGCGCACACTTTTCGTGCTTATGTTGTGCTTATTTCTTGATTATTCGACAAGTAGAATTCTTGCAGTTAACAGCTAGTATTAAAGAGCAGACTAACCAAAAGAGATATCAGACAGTTTTGCTCGAGTTTTGACATAACGAAAGAAAAAAATGCTTCTACTCGAATTTTATAGTGTTATACTAGTGGAGTCATATATTTTGCCTTTTGCATTGTTTCTTCTAATCCCATTTTTGCCGTTAAGAAGTAGCTCTTCACCTAGTAAAGTCTCAGCCTGGCGATGTCAGGTCATTTTCCTAGAATTGCTAGTTTGCACCAAGTAAATTGGAAATATCAATTGTTAAAAATTGTCAGAAATGTTGAATATCAAATGAACTAGTATAGGCTGAAATCTTGTCTAAAAGTATGATATAAACTGTTGAAAGCGATTATAACTATATCTGGGTGAAAATGGGCAAAAGAGGGTAGAAAAACTTTGTGCAAGTGACAATTAGGTGTGTACATAGGTCGGGTTGATTCGGATTTTTCAATTATCAAACCAAACTAATGGTGTCGGATTTTTCAATTTATAACCAAACCAACAAAGTCGAGTTTTTCAATCTCGGTTTTTCTCGGATTTTCGAGTTTTTTTTCGGTAAGTTTTCATAGCATAAAATATGTAACTTGTGCTCCAAATATTTCTTAAGTCCTAGTAAAATACAACTATATAATATATTTTCCAAGAATCTAACACCATAATATGAGATAAGTAATAGCATTATACTAAAATATTCAATAACAAAGATAAATTAATAAAATTACATAAAACAAATATTGCTAATTAATAAGCCATAATAAAAATTAACATAATCTAAAAATAATATATAGGTCATGCTAAAATAAGTAGAGCTAATAAGCACTAATAGTAATTACATAACTAAGCACTAAAGAAAAAGATAAACTAAGTTATGCATTTTCATTATAAACCAATGTAAAACTAAAATAATTATCCAACACTATCGTCATTCCTAGTATTGAATTGAATTTCTTTGTTAGAATTAATATTGATTTGAACTTTGTTTGAGTTACTACATTCATGGGTTATAAATTTTATTTACCATTTAAGAATGTTAAGTCTAAACTTGAAATAACACGTTAAAAGATAAAACTGTGAAAAACGTTTAAGAAATATTTATAAATTACATTACACTAAATATTTATATGTATAAAATATTTTTAAAAATTATATAAATGTATTTCGGGTTGGTTTTGTTTCGTTTTGACTTTTTTTAGTTAAAACCAAACCAAACCAATTATGGACGGGTTTTATTTTCCAAAATAGGGTAAAAAGGTCAACTATTAGTATTACTATAGGGTAAAAATAAATAGTAATTTAAAAGGTCAATTATTACTATTAGTATTATTTTTATTTTTATCTTTATTTTCAAATAAAATAAATTAAAAAATAAATTTCGGATGGGAATTAAAAAAAATAGGAAAAGTAAAAATATAGAATTAAAAAGTAAAAGTAAAAGTAGGTGAAAATATTTTAATAAAAAAAAGTAAAAGAAAGTGGAAAATTTAAAAAAATAAAAGTAAAAGCATGTAAAAATTTAAAAAAATAAAAAGTAAAAGAAAGTTGGAATTAAAAAATAAAAGTAAAGGTAGCTGAAAATTTAAAAAAGAAGAAGTAAAAGTAAGTGGAAATTAAAAAAAAGAAAAGTAAAATAAGTAAAAAATAAAAAAAAACGTAAAAAAGTGAAAATTTAAATATAATAAAAGTAAAGAAAAGTGGGAAATTATTTTTTTTTAAAAAAGAAGAAAAATGGAAAGTGGAAATTCTTTTTAATTAAAATAAATAAATAAAAAACAATATAAAAAAATTCTGAAAATTCCGAAACTTTTTCTATAAATAGAAGAGAAATGTGAGGAAAACAAAAGAGGAGATAAAGGAAAAAAGAGAGGGGAGGGATTTGAAGAGAAATGTTTTTGCTTCTTCTACGCTTAGGAAAATTTTATTCGTCTCATTCTTTCTTCGTATTTCTTTCGAAAAAACCAACAGCTTCACCACCCAAAAACCACCCTGAAACCCATAAAAGTCGAGCCAAGTCCCAACCTCGCTCTCCCGTTTGCGTGAGGTTTAAGAGGTCTTGTTCGAGGTCCATTTTCAACGAGGTGCTCGTTCATTCGAATCCGGTTCCGTCGAGGCTGTTCGAACTCCATTCGACGTCTTGTTCTCCTTCGAGGTGTAGCCGACACTTTCCTTCTGTAATTCAAACTTGGAGATTTAATTTTTTCAATATAGTGAAGAAAGTTTTTCTCCTCAAAGGTCTATTTATTTTTTATTTCAGTAATATTTATTGTCATGCTCCAGTCATATCTCTTTGAATTTTAGTTCTTTGTTGACTTTATTTGGCATGAATTTTTATCATAATATTCCGTGTTTAGTTATTTTTCATGATTAGTTGGTGTTTTAATTTTCATTATCAGTTGGTTTGATTGTTGAGCATTTTGGGAATAAAGGTATATTTATTTTTGATTTATATGAATCTAAAGTTATGTGTAGTAGTAGGAAGGCACATATTCTCTGTTTAAATTTGAGATAGAATAATTTGTACATGTTAAAGCAAAGATGTCTTGGTGAGCACATTTTGTATAGTTAGTTCATGAGTGTTAATTAGATTTAAAGGAAGTTGGATTTGTTTAATGAAGTATGTACTACTGAAAATGGCTAATGGACAATGGACTATTGGAGTAGCTTGGTGAACTAGTAACTAGGCTTACTTTTTAGTTGGTTTTAAAAAGATAATTGTACTACGATCAATTTTAATTTATCTGGTCCAAAATAGTTTCTGTCAGGTCCAACTTAGTAAGAGCAAAAGCTGACCCATTTTCTACAATTGATTTCCATAGCTCTTGACCTTACAAAGATCTCAAACTCATAAGGAAAAACAAATCATGAACACGTGCTAGTTGCTTTAGGCGTAATTAATAAATCATCATGACTATAGGTACGGTTCCCGTGGCATAATCATGATACGTAAATCCCAACTCAAGTGTGCATTTCACGCAACTTGACCACAACTTCAAATAATTAAAATAAACATGTTGTAAATCGCGGGTGCGTTTCACGTGGCGCGATTTGCAATATGTACAAAAATAACGAGTGCGCGATATCGTGACTTGTTCAAATAAATTCATAAGTATTAAAAACGGTAAAAGACAAAATGCACAATATGTTTAAACACATGTAATAAATCAGATAATTACGCCAAGTATTAATTGTTAAGCGACCGTGCTAAAACCACAGAACTCGGGAGTGCCTCACACTTTTTTTCAGGTTAACAAAATTCCTTACCTTGTCTTCTATGTTCGCGGATCATAAATAGAGTCAATCTCCTCGATTTGAGATTTTAAAATAAATCGGTGACTTGGTACACCATAATAATTATCCCAATTGGCGACTCTAAATAAATAAATAATCTCATATCGATTAATGTCACTTTAATTGGAAAAACTCTCATATCCCTCGGAAAAAAAGAGGTGTGACAACTCTGGCGACTCTGCTGGGGATCAAACCCAGAATCTCTGGTTCAAGGTTCAAAATTCGAGCTTAGAATAAACTGTGATTCTTGGCTTCTGTTTATTATCTGATTTTTACGTGGTTGAGCCTAATGTCTAAATACCGCTTTTTACCGCTTTGATATTATATGAACTGTTTATAAACTGTTACAGAATCCCTTCTTCTCTCTCAGTCGTCTAAATCTCCTGGGAAGCGTGTGCTTCGCATAGCTTCTTATCTGTTAGAGTCATACCCCAATTTTAGAACGAGGATCGGACAAGTTGCAAGGCCGGTGAAGCTTCTGTATTCCCGGTACGCTGCCCCTCCCCGACTCGAGTTGTCCGTTCGGGTAAGCCAGGTTTAGAACAATACACCCAGAATTTAAACTTAGAATAACATAGCTTCACGCCGGATCCCTAGTAGGTACGTTCATTGCATCACGTGCATTTGACTTTGGGGACTCAACACAGGGGTTGGGTCCGTCTAGGACAGATGTACCCCAAAAATTAAAAGACCATCCTCATTCATTTTACGTGCTACTTGTGCATTTATTTGCTTCGGCTTGTATGTTGACCGACTTCTAGAATAGGGAAAGAAAATCAAGAAAAACTTAGAGTGAGGTAAGATAGAAAAATACCCGATTCTAAAAATCTCGGTATTCAAAAAATCCCGAAACACTGCCAAAATTTTGAAAAAAAGAAGAAAGAAAAGTCATTTCAAAATAAGTCATATTTTCTGTGCGTCAAAACTTACCGAACTACGAGGGTCTGATTCTCACCGGATGTGAGATACATAGGCAAATCTCATCGGTTCCGGCCCTAATTCCTTTAATTCCTTCTTTATGAGTCTTTTCTTAGAAAAATCTAAACAAATAAAAGATAAGAAAATTTTTAAACCCAAAAATATTTTCTTTGTAGAAGTCTTTCATTCTATAATAAATAAATAAATCAAATCAAAATCCAAAAAAATATTTTTCACAATTTTTAGAAGTCTTTTGCCCAGAAATTCAAAAAAGAAAATCCAAAATCCAAAATCCAAAAATATTTTGTTTCTTCTTTAGAAGTCTTTATTTCAAAAATTTCAAAAAAATAAATCAAAACCAAAAATGCTTTCTTTCCTCTTTAAAAGCTTTTCCTTCGAAAATTCCAAAAGAGAAAAAAAAAATGAAATGCAAAAAATAATAATATTATATTCTTTTTATAAACGCTTTCATAGTCTGTTTGTTATAAAAAAAATAAGTAAAAAAGTTAGTTTATTTACTTCATTCCTGTTTTTTCTCGAACTACGCGAGATCTGATTCATGCGTCGTCATGATACGTAGGTAATCCCCATCGGATTCGATCATAGCCATACACAAATTGAGTGAAAAATAAGCCGGAAAAAAAGAAAGAAAGAAAGAGAAAAAAAACTGAGTGAAAAAGAAAAGAGAAGAGAGAAGAAAGAAAGGAAAAAGAAAAGAAAAGAGTAACAAAAAAAAATAAAAAATAAAGCAAAGAGCGAAAAAAAAGAAGAAGCAAGAGTGAAAAATCCAAAAAGAGAACTTTGTGTCTAGTTTTAAAAGAAAACAGCTGAAAGTTTTCGTGAATATTCTGTCAAATGGCGTGAGCAAGCTGCCATGGTAAAGCCTCCAATGGACGAA